CATAGTTTTCTTTGATTGGAGTGGGTTTCTATTGCTACAATAATTATTTCTTGTCAATTTCAGTTTCATTTTATTTTTCTTTTTCGTTTGTTTTTAATTTCGGTTTATTTTCTTTTAGGGAGAGAAATCCTGTTGTGTTTCCTTTGGTTTTTCTTAATGGGTATCATGTTTTTTCTGCTGATTCTCTGATGTTCTTAAAAAAATGTTTACTCTGTTTCTTACCTTGGATTTGTTTGCTCTGCAACTGGTTCTTGTTCTATTTATGGAAGGTTGTTGTCTTTTTCTTTCTTGAAGGGTATGGTATGGGATTCAAATCAATTCATCAATGAATTGGAATTTTATTTACTTTCACTTTGCATGTATTAAGACTATTTAATCCATGGTTTTTTATTTATTTAAGGGCAATCATTCAATGACAACGCCTCAGAGTAATATGTTCAAATACATGTTAATTCAAGAGTTTCTCTGCACTTGTGTCTGAAATTTTTTTTCCTTTCTCAGCTAACAGAAATTTAATAACTGAAAATTGTTCAATATCAATTGGGTTCTAAGCCACTGTTAAAATTTTACAGTATTTATTTTGTCCAATCCCTCTCCCTCTTCCTCTTGGGGGCAACCACGGCGGGGCCAGCCATGGCGCGGTCCTTGTCCCATAAACCGGCTAGCACTGACCCTAGTCTGGCCCTCAGGCCACAGTTAGTGGCCTGGCCCTACTTTTTTTTGGGCCGGGCCACGTGGTCCATGGCCCGTGGTCTCTCTCTATCTAGATAGTAGAGTGTGAATTAACATGGTGTGTTGTATGGGTGGGTGATCAGGTGTTCCATGGACAGAGGAAGAGCATAGGACATTTTTAGCTGGGCTTGAGAAGCTTGGAAAGGGTGATTGGAGGGGAATTTCAAGGAATTTTGTAACCACAAGGACTCCAACCCAAGTGGCTAGCCATGCTCAAAAATATTTTCTTAGACAGACTAGTTTCAACAAGAAGAAACGTCGATCTAGCCTCTTCGATGTGGTATTATTTTGTCCCTTATGCCCATTCTCAATTTGCTTCTATCTCATACCCATTATCAATTTGCCAATTCTCTCATACCCATTCTTCCCCCCTCAAAAAAAAATAAAAAAAAATTAGTGTTTTACCTATAGACCTTCAAAAATTTTCTAATATATGAAATCCAGGCAGAAATAACAATGATGGTCGGTAGACCCACATTTTTTTTATTTTTAAAAGTTGGCCCTTGCTCTCAGGATGGAATCCTCATCCTGAATTTTAGGGTCCGAACTTAAATCGCTTTTTGTTTTCTATATTATTCTCTCTCTCCTTTTGATTTCCCTTTGTTTCTTAGGTGGTTTTTTTGTTTTTGTTTTTCTCCTTATATACTTTATTTTTCATTTTTTTCCAGGTTGGACCCAGTGGAGCATTAGGTGACAATGGTGGAGATAAGGCGGCCCAAAAAACCTCTTCCACTCTTCCATTACCCACCCCAGTGGCAAAAAACCCTTCTCAATCAACTGAATTCCCAGTTCCCACTCTCTCTCTAACCACATCTGCCCCCAACTCCCATGAAATCACACATCCCATCAATCATAAACCTCTACAAACCCCAAATGAATCCCAATACCTTCAATTCCCTCTCAATCATCAATTAGTGCCTGTGCTGCCGCCCCCCAATTCTCTCTCTTCATCCCGTGCTCTTGTTTCTCTTTCATCCTTGCAAAAACCACCAACCCCTCTATCTTCCACTGATTTGGAGCTCACCATCGCCTCTCCACAACCACAAGATCGAAGCAAATTATCTCAGAGCTCTTTTTTAATAGGAGCCATTAGTGTGGTCTAATTGAGATCTAGCACACTTAAACAGGAGCTAACACTGTCTCAAAGAAGTTCCTACTTGCATGAACCCCTGTGGTGTAATTACTCATGGGGAGAGAGAGAGAGAGAGAGAAACAGTCCCATCCATTGAGTTTTATATCTCCTTAGAATCTAAAGGAAAAGTGGTGCTATTACTTTGTGGAGTCGATGGGAATCAAATAAAAGGACAATGTTTATATATGTTCAAATAGATATATTCATATATGAGCTCCTGTAAGGATATCCATGGCATTGTGCCTTTATGTTCCTTACTCTCGTCATATTCTTTCTAAGCAATGCTTTTTTTTAATTTTTTTTATCTTTTTCTTTTTGGTCCTCCAATCATGGAAACTTACCTCTAGCTTTCAACTTATAATTATGAAAGTATTTTGGACACCTTTAGGGTTGGCTCACTGAATACATAGAAAAAGGGGGTTATTCCATTTTATAAAGTCCTGATTTTATTCTCGGAAGGATGCACTATGCCAGTATTTGCTATGTACCATTTGGTCCCTCCACAAACTTCAAAGGTTGTATGGAGAACAAACTTGGACAAATAGAAGGAATCCACTTATTTAGATCCTTATGGTTCCCTCTATCCAAGAGATTCACTGAGAGAACTACAAAGAGAGGGATCTGTCTCTCCCTCTCCCTCTCTCTCTCTCTCTCTCCAAAGAAAAAGAATACTCCCTCCCCCCCCCCCCAAACCCGACGAAATAGTCATTCTCTCTCTCTACAAGAGAAAGAAATAGCCAATCTCTCTCACCTCTCTCTCTCTCTCTTTCACGAGTCCTCCAATAAAAGACCAAATATTTGTTTGCATTGTAGGGATCCACAAACTTATCTGGCCCAGCAAGCAAGTATAGCACAAGCACGACCACTAATAAATACTCCTGTCGCATTATAAGGTGGGCATTAAAAATCATGAAGTTTCTAGTGAATATTAATAAGCATGTGTTGTATTTTGTTGCTTAGAGACCAAACCTCGTGCCCTTTGTGGGGCCTTACTTGTACCTTTTTGTAATGCATGTGACCAAATCTTTGCTCAATGGAGGGCCTACATTAACAGCTCTTATGAGTGAATGTAACAATTACTAGAAAATTATGTTGTCTTTTCCTTTGTTTAATATGAAACAAATTAAACAATTGGTTGTTCAGAACAAAAAGTTGGTTGACCATCAATATTGGTTGTCCTAAAACAAAAATTCATGCGTCATTTAGATAAGAGAGGAAAGATTTAAAATTGAGTATTTTTTACAATGTGTAAAAAATAAATGTCAAAAATGAAATGTCAGTTTTTAAAATGTCAAACACAAATATCGTATACTTGATTGCCGAACTGATTGTAGCTCTTTTTTATTCAGTACCCTCCTATTTTAGGGAGATAACCATTGTCTACCCTTTTGTTTCTTTTCGAAGTTTTGGAGTATTTCTATATGGGTTTCTCCAGTAACTTCAGCTTAAAGGATACACAGAAGTAGACGAAAGTATGTGAAAAATAAAGACCACCAGATGTACTTTCGGTGAAAAAATTGGGCAAATGGTTACAAAATCATGTTAAGATGTTATACGAAGGTAAATTTGGATGAATAGTTGCAAAATCATTAGCTCTGTAGCACCAATTATATTGCATTGAAAGGCCATCCAGCATGAGCATATCCTAGATTCACTTGTGTAATACCCAACTAATTAGCATTTTTAAGACCTAAAATTTTGGGGACGGGATGTAAGCAACAAATATCTCAGAAAAAAAAAAAGGAAAAAAAAACATATTGTATTTATGTGTGTAAAACATTTGTCCTAAGATAAACTGTGAATAACCAATACTCAAGGCCAAATCCAAGTACATATATTTTCTTTTCTCAAAGTATACATCTGGTTATTCTAAATTTCGGATTCAGAAAATCGATCTAAGTTGGTAACTGCCCTAACCATTCCTCAAAATCAAAATTGGCATAATCACTTCTGTTTCTCTAGCTTCCACCTATTTATTGATGCCCAAATCTCACCTGAGGAATATTTCCCCAATAGATGATACTTCCAATGATAAAACCAAGGTACATTCAAGTAAGTGCAGAAAAGTGACATTTCCTTCTTCCTCAAATTAAAGCATATGCTCTACATTTCCAAATCAAGACTTGATTTCTACATTTGGCTATAAAAATCAAATTGAATAAAATAAAAAAATAGAAACTTAACCAAGAAGAAAGAAAAAGAAAACAAAACTCAGGAACTATGTTACAAATTACAAAAATCGGCAATCAGCTAGGTGCATGACAACCAGATCAGTAGGCAAAGAAACTAAAACCCATGAAAGCTTCCCTCACATGGCATCAATGAAACCTCCCCCATTCCTACGGCGCAGCAGCCATGGAGAAGGATCTCTCTTGCTTTGGCATGGAAAAGAAAGGAGAATGAGGCTTTGAAAAACTGCATTGTCAGTCTATATCTCCTTTGCTCTCTTGTGTACCTGCTCCCCAGAGTGGAAGATATAAGCCCATCAGGTAAACCCATACATTTGAGATGTGCTTTCCTCCTTAATTTCTTTTCATTTCCCCAACTTTTTTTCATGAATCATGAGACCCTTGGATCAACAGACCAATACGCTTCGTACTATCTGAACGAAGGCTCTCACCTTTATAGCTCATCTGGAGTTAAAAACCATACTGAACATCTTAAAACCCTCAACCAATAACAGCAACAGTGTGAATGCTAGTGTGTGTGTGTGTCTATATATATACATATATATAGTTGTTTCAATTCTCACCTCGCTCTGAAGACTTTCTGGAGAGAACCACCTCAGCAACACTCCAAGATGAACAACTGCAGGTATCAACTTAAAGAGTAATGGAGTTGTCACCTGCGTGGTTTCTTTTAGTGAGTGAGTGGTACTTGAAAACTATAGAATGCTTGTAATAGTTAAAACTTACCAGACTGAGAGCAGTCGTGCCCAGAAGCAGCAGGTAGAGTTTTGCCTGTGAAAATCCAGACTACTATTACACTGCTGGCTTGAGGTAACGCATCAAGAAAAAACCATGATTTCTAAATTCTAATATATGCAGTACTCTTGTTGAATTTTAAATCCAAATATCTGTAGGCAGTCACAGAAAAGGGAGAAATTCAAATTTTAGGCCTTGATCAATTTTCTATCTTTAAATCAAACGTTAAGAATGAACCAAATGAAATGTAGGTCGAAACCTAAAAAGGACAAACAACAACCATCGAATGCAATATTCAAATTATGAAAATGGTAAAAATATCATCTAAGAAATAATTTTTCTATCACATTTCCATTAAAAATAAATAAAAAATAATAATTGAGGCTAAATAATCAACAATTTATTCATTTCTTCATCCAAAACTCAAGTAAAGAATCCATTATTCATGAATGCAAAGCATGCCTATTTCAAACGTGACCTGATCAAGGACATTTCATCGAAATTTCTTTACGGATTTCAACTCACTCTTTGATGTGAAGACAGCCAACTCAACAGGAAATGAAACAGCTAAACAAAATTATGGGATGAAGTTTTAATTGTTCAAAAGGCATCCATGCAAGAGACATTTTACATAGTAAATAGCACATGGAATGCTTAACAAACACAATACATAACAACAAAATTATTGGCCTTTGTAAAATGCTTTACCTGACCAACACTGCCGATAATGAATTTGCAACAATGTAATATAATGCCATGACTAGAACCCATACTATCAATCATTATACTTACTCCAAGTGTAGTAATACCAACCTCTATGAGATGAATATTTGAAGCACGGCTGAGAAGAACAAAAGCAAATTCGCCAATTTGTGCAAGGGACATGCCAACCTACACACCACCGTGAATTGATATGCGACAATTCTGTTAGATAAGTTCATAAAAAGATAGCCATACCAAGTGTATGAAAATCAAAAGTTAATGATCTTGCATTAGGTGTATGTAAAATTTAAGATTATGATCTTACAAGAAGTGCTGTCTTGTTGCTATAGCGAAACCCCTTGACCACTGCAGCGATTACCATTGTTTTCATAATAATCACCAAAATGACAGCCGCCAATAAAATATCCACATGGTTCCATAGGAATTGAACATGGATCAGCATTCCAATGCTAGAAAGAAACAGCGCTGCAAAGAAATTGCGTATTGGTTCCACCTACATAAAGAATCAAAACTTGAAATTACAACGTGGAAGAATCAATGCATCTTATGCAATATGGTCCTCTATAACATCCTCATTTTCAAGGGTAACTAGCGAGTTTATGCATTTTGATAACCGAACTATTTCTTGAAACATTGCAGTCACAGAAACAAAATAAGCAAAATAAACAATGAATTGATTCGGTAATAAATTGGCCAAATTCAAGCTTCAAATATTTGAAAATAAATCAATTTTAAAGTCCATCTGAATGGCACAAGCAAGGCCGTAGGTGGAGTACGTAGAGTCTTGGTAATATATTCATTTAGCTCCGAATAAATGGGAAAAAAAAAAAGTAAATTGTGGAGTAGAGGATACCAAGATCATTAAAATTGTTTCTGGGACAACAAATTTCAACAAGCACTCTGTCTAGGGAATCAGAGTCCGATGAACTGGCTAGATCTCATTGCAAAGCTACATAACGTTTCCCATTATATGGGTGTAGAGCAAAGAAATTTATTTCTACTTTATTCATACTTCCTTTTGCAATAAATCTAATAATACCTTTTTCATATTTCCTTGACTTGAGATTCCTCATTCATCTAGGGTCATCATTGTCATAGAAAGCATATGCAGGATCGTATTATCTAATTGATATGTAGTTAAAACACACCTTTAATGCGTAATTCTTTTAGAATGCAGAATATATATATATATATATATAGATGGAAAATATTTTGTCAGCCAAAGGGCCGATTCAATAGTATACACCGAATGGCCCAGATTAAATATGGGCCGATTGGATGGCCATAGCTGTGTTTCGTCTTTGAATTTTAGTTTTTCTTTTTTATACAAATCCAAATTTTATAAACTTTGAAGCATTTAATTTTGAAAAATACATGCACCTAATAAAAATATTAAAAGAATAATTTCAAAAATAAATTGACCAAAACAACCCTAGGACTTTTAGGGGTATTTTGGTCACATTTTTTTTGTGAATTATGTTGAAATATTTTTATTAATGGCACCTTAATGAGAAGAGTGCATGCTCCAAATTTGAAGTGATTTAGATTTATAAAAATTATTAAAATTCAAATACGAAACGTAATCGTGACTGCCAGATCAGCCCAACTCAAACTAGACTGTTGAGTGTGTTACACACGCACACACACTTCAAATAAGAAAAAGAATTATACAGAGTTATGGATATGCTTCTAGAAGTCACTATGAAATGAGAAACTTTATATTTTGCTGCCACTAAGACATGTATGATGTTGTATTTTTTTGATGAAACAATAATAGTAGTTTTTTTTCTTTTCCAATTGTTAATCATTGAAAATTTTGAAATAGATGTATACTCTTACAAAAAATGAGAAATCCCTGTACAAAACAGACATCATTCGAATGGTTGACACTAAAATTTTGTAATTACAAGACTCTACATTCCCACGGCCTCTTCGGCCAATGTATCAGTCTCTACGTTCCCCTTCCGCTAAGTGTGTTGAAGGTCACAGTAAGAGTACTATGTCAAAAACATCTTTGAAAATATTTGAAGATCTCCATGGACATTCCACTCATCTAATTTCCTATTGGATGACATTGTAAGGGTCACCTAGATTACATTTTCTGCTGGCAATCATCCAGAGTTCCAGACCATGTAAACCAATCAGCAGGCTCACCTCTGTTTCTTTACAATCAGAGAAAATCAAGGAGCCTGAATATGTCAAGAACATGCTTCTCCAGTGACCTCTAATGATTCCCTCAAAGCCTGCTGGCCTGGTTACTGTAAGAACTGCCATCAATATTTAGTTTCAGAAACCCTTCATTTGGGGGGACTGGTGGCGTCATGTCTAGTCATCATGGGGCCTTTATCTTTGACAATAGCAATCCAACCTATGAGTGTCTTGAAAATTCTTTCTTGGTTCTCATCCATGAAATGATATTCAACTTGATACTGTCCAATACGCCATCAATCTGTGATATAAGCTGATTTAAACGTCCAACTATTTCTTTCAAGCCAAATCAATCATAAGATGGCTAGGTAATCTCCCAACACAACAGTTGGTGGTCTTCCTGGGTAAACAAAGGTACTTGCTAGGTAATCTCCCAATACCACAGCCTAAAATTTACCCAATTCTAACAGTTAGTCACCAGGGACCAGGATTCCAATTAGTTTGGTCTTGTAAATGCTAACTATAAGGCTTCATAATGCTCCAAATCACCTGAGCTACAACTATGGAAACCCGTTAATAAATGTCAAGGAAGCTTCCATTTACAGGATCCCATGTGAGTTTTTTATTCTAACAGAGGATCTATTCGTTATGCATATCATTAGGGGTTTTATGGCTACTCAATTGGTTGATTCCTTGTTGCATTTGTGACTTTTTAGTCCAAATGGAGCGCTTGAATATCTCTATCTTTCTCACGTATATATATGGAAAAAGCTACCAAAAGGTGGCACCTATAACATATAGTAATATAGGTCGAACCCCAATTGTCAGATCTTCATCAGGTGGTTGAAAATTCATGTCACCATTTGATTTTTAATATTTTTTCTACAAATCAAATCAAGATGAAATTTGAGTGCGCTAAAAAAATAGGTCACACAAGAAAAATTATAAAACAAATATTTTCCAAAATTTGAAATGACCAAAATACCCCTAAAAATGAAGGGAGTAATTTGGTCAATTTGAATTATTAAAAATATTTTTTCTAGACTTTTATATGCTGCATGCTGGTGTTAGGTATATATAGTTATATACCCAAAATTTCATCTCAATTTGATAAATAGAGAAAAGATTAAAAATGTAATTTGGTCATTTTGAATTATTGAAAATAATTTTTTTATATTTTTATATGTTGCACAATGGTGGTAGGCATAGATATATACCCAACATTTCATCTCGATCGGAAAAGTAGAGAAAAGATTAAAAATCAAATAGTGGCATGTATTTTCAACCACCTGATCAAAATCTAACAGCTGGGATTCCACCTATATCACTATTCATTATAGGTACCACCTTTTGGTGGCTTTTTCCTATATATATATATATATATAGGAAGTGATATATATATAGTAGG